GCTTTCCCTTGATGTTCCCCTGAGGGACCATTCCTAGTACAGTTCTGGACCCCCTAAATCCTGAACCCTACAAAACCATACGTAGTACCTAGGGCTTTCGGGTACCTTCTTCCAGAACTGTATCACAGCCACAGGGGTTCTCGGGTGCGAGGATCCTCATGAGCTCCTGAAGACCTTTTGCTACTTAGCCACTAAGTACTACCCGAAACTCCAAATCCCAAACGATGTTTGCAGGCGTATACGCTCTGCTTTGTGGGGTTTAGGGTTTAGGGCGCAAGACCTTGTCATTCTTTTTTGGTATTCCCAAGAATGATCCTTCTGAACATACAAGGAGGTTGGGGCTTACCGGAGGGTACAGTAGTTACATGGTCCCTTACTATGGGCTCTTAATCGGGTAATCCTTAAAAACCCTTCACCACCCCATAAACCTCAAGGGGCCCATACTTCGGAGCTCAGAACCATTTAAAGAATGGTAAGGGACCATGTAACTTCCCTGAGAATGTCTAACCCGAAACCCGAAACCCTAAACCCTAAACCCTAAACCCTAAACCCTCAGAATCCGGTTGCGGTGTGTTGGAGGCATTTCAGAGATTCAAGGAGCACTAGTGCGGATTTGACTGCCGGGACCCGCAGCTACGTGACACGCATCCTGACTTGGAGGATCGGGGCACTTAAGAAAGTGGAGTTGTCAGTGCTTGCATTTGGGTTTAGGGTTTAGGGTTTAGGGTTTGTACAGGGCTTAGGGTTTAGGGTTTAGGGAAGGAACCTTAAGCAAAACCCTGTTTGGGATCAGGTTTTCGGGTTTGTAGATATGGGGCCTATAAGCCCTGAAACCCCCAACACCTAAGCCCTAAACCCTAAACCCTAAACCCCAAACCCTAAACCCTAAACCCTAAAACCCTAAACCCTAAAACCCTAAACCCTCAGCAGAAGAGCTCCCCAGCAAGAGCAGCTCCGGACGCCGGGCCTTTGGAGCCTCCCGCAGCCATGCTTACCTGGGCTGGCGTGCGCAGGGGGTTCTCCAGCAAAGGCACAGGGGTTTAGAGTTTAGAGTTTAGGGCTGAGGGTGTAGGGCTTAGGGTTATGGTTTAGGGTTTCGGGGTTAGGGTTTAGGGGGAGGGGGGCGGGCGGGGGGTGGGGGTGGGGTGGATTCAGAGAATGGAGGCCGGTAATCCGAAGCCTTGGCCACTAGAGATGAAGAGGCGAAGCACGAAGGTTGAGGATTCTGGATCTCACCCTAAGGGTCCATGCACCTCATTATTATGTACTTGGGCCCCTAAGGCCCGAGACAGGAGATACTTTGAGGCCCAAGTCTTCCCTACTTAGGTACATGCACCCATAGGGTCAGTTGACGATTAGAGCTCAGGGTTCTAGACAAAGGCGTGCCCCATCAGAAGGGCGGTTGTGAGAACAGGGTTGGCCAGCATGCTCACAGTGCTTTTCCCTGCCTTCTATACACTCTGTGTCGGGCTCCTGCCAAGCCCTAATTCTCAAATCCCAACCCCGAAACCTAAAACGCGTAACCCTACAACATACCAACTCCCCCGTCTCTGCGGTTAGATGTCAGCAAGCAGCGCACGACCCTCGAACTCAAATCCTCTGGCCTACCCCTTAACCTACCCGCACCACGAGAGGCTACCGTGTGAAGAGGGTGTCTTGCCATCGACGACAGTGGAGTTAAGCGTACTTCAGAGATTTAGCGGCTAAGGGCTTAGGAAGGGCTCAGGGCTCAGGGCTTGTTAGGATTTAGGATGGAACAGGAGTCTTCAAAGCTTTTTCAAGGCGGTGGGCAGCAGGGTTTGGTTTCACAGCGAGCGCCCGTCTCGTGTACACTTTAACCACCTTGTAAGCTATAAACCTGAAGCCCTAAACCCTAGAGAAAGGCGGCGATGGAGGCACAAGAGTGAACGAGTACTTTGTTCTCGGGCTCGAAGAATCTTTCTAGTTAAGAGGAAGAGAGAAAGAGAGAAAGAGAGAAAGAGAGAAAGAGAGAAAGAGAGAAAGAGAAAGAGAGAAAGAGAGAAAGAGAACTAGAGAGAACTAGAGAGAACTAGAGAGAACTAGAGAGAACTAGAGAGAACTAGAGAGAACTAGAGAGAACTAGAGAGAACTAGAGAGAACTAGAGAGAAAGAGAGAAAGAGAGCCAGACCGAGACCGGACGCAGCGTATAAGCTGCAATTCTAGCAGTGCGGAATGGTCGTGGTATGCGCCCAGACCTTCTGAGCCCTTGAAAGCCCCAAGCAGCCTATGCCATCCCCCCAACATCTACATGGAGGGGCCCCCTAGCTATAAGTAGAGTTATAAGAGCCCTAGCTATAAGTAGAGTTATAAGAGCCCTAAATTGGGTTATAAGGATCCTACATTAGGTTAGAAGTCCCTTAGCTACAGTTAAAGGGGGCCCCCTCCTTGAAGCCCCACAAGGCAGAAAGGCTCTTGGTAGCCCACTGTTGTGCTCTTTCCCCTTTTTTTTGGTTCCAGGTTCCCTTATAAAGTAACTAACCCCAAAAAAGGGTACCCTTATTAGAATATGGTTACTGGGCCACCAAGAGCTGCTAAACGAGCTAAACAGAAGAGATGTTGCGGTTCAGGGGTTTAGGATTTCAGTGTAGTTAAGAGTCGTTGTGTAGCCCTGGCATTTGCCAGCCATATGCTTACGGATTTGGCTGCTTTGAGGGCAAAGCTACCCAGGTGCGCTACCCCTGGAAAGAGGAGCTGATGCGTGATTCCTGGGAGTTGCTGAAGCCGCTCGGCACGGTCAGTGACTTGCTTTGGGGCCTTACAAGCCCTTCATGACCCGGTAAGGGATGGATATAGGTACTCCCTGCATTCCCAAGAACCATGAAGCTTCGATTTCCTCAAAGTTCAAGCACAGACCTGGCACTTTCTACGGCTTGTCTCAGGGGTTTTTGGAGTTTGCTTTCTCTCTCGGGCGTGCATGAGTCTCTCAGCGTGTTCCCTGCCAGGGCTTGCGCCTAAGCACGTTTAGGGTTTCGGACTAGGGTTTAGGGTTTAGGGTCACCGTTTCGGGTTGAAGGTTTCGTTGAAAGCCGGATGCTTGAAGAATCCCATCCCGACCCTCGTGGCCCATATTCTTGCTCCCCAAACAGGGGGGGGGGGAGTTAGAGGGGTTTGGGGTTGAGGGCCCCCTTCTTGGGGCAACAAGCCTCCCCCAAACGCTTTATCTAGGACCCAAGTGGCCCATACTCTCCTGTTTCTCGTCTAATTTTGCTTTCCTGATAGAACCTATGAAGCAAAATAAGGTGCCATTTTTGATTCCTATGTCTCACCAAATGCCCCGAACTGCCCATGCTTGCCCAATGGTATACGCTTGGGCCCGAAAGCCACGTTGTAATCTTTGCTTGCTTCATAGACCTAAGCTCTTGAAACCCAAAACCCTAAACCCAGAACCCTAAACCCTAAAACTATCCCAAGCCCCAACTCAACAGCTAAGCCTCACAGAAACTCAGGCAGGGCACTCCCAAAATAAACCCAAAACCCGAATTAAACCCTAAACCCTAAACCGCCTAAACCCTAAACCCTAAACCCTAAACCCCAAGTAACCTGGTGGATCAGGCAGGACATGGTGTCGCACTTTCGGCAGGCTCCTGCCGCCTGCCTCTACTTGGTTTTTTGGGGTGCTTCCGGGGCTCCCAAGCTGGGCAAGAGTTCAAAGGCCCGACGGTTTAGGGTTTAGGGTTTAGGGTTTAGGGTTTAGGGTTTAGGGTATACTCGATCAGTGTTCGGGATCCTTTTTACTTTTTGGGTTATGGGCTTTCTTATATATGAACAAAAAGGATCCTTTTTTCTTCCTTGGGGAACAGGGATTAAGTTTAGGGTTTAGGGTTTAGGGTTTCAGGGTTTGGGGTTTAATTAGGGCTTAGGGCTTAGGGCTCAGGGCTCAGGGCTCAGGGCTCAGGGCTTAGGGCTTAGGGCTTAGGGCTTAGGGCTTAGGATCTCCGGGTTTGGGACCGGAGGTTAGAAAACCCTCCCTCAAAGCAGCTCGCCCCCCAAAAAGCGCTGCACCGGGGCAGCGGCCCCTGGAAAAGTTTGGGGTTTAGGGTTTGGGGTTTGGGGTTTAGGTTTGGGGTTTCGGGTTTAGGGTTTAGGGTTTAGATTTGTGGGTGATGTTCCCCTTATACTAACTTTATAGGGATTGTCATAAGGGGGGGTTACTATAATCCCTACCACCTTGAGGACGACATGAACCCCTAAAAAATTCGGGTCATAGACATGTACTGCTTTTTACTGCGATAATCCCTATTACGACCCATCAGCCTATGAGGCATAAACCCTTCTAGGTTTCATTTGGTTTCCAAGGCAAGGACTGCTGGCATAAGGGGGAACATCCCAAGGTGAATTGTATGTGGGATCGCCGGGTGGAGGCTTCGATGATTCTTTTGTTCATTCATCCCCCGACCCCAAAGCTCCTAAACCCTAAGCCCTATAATCGATAATCCGATAACCCCATAACCCTTTAAAGCCTTAAACCATGCTCCCCATCATTCCCTAAAGCCTTGATATCCGGCTGGAAGTCTTGCAGAACTCCTGCAGGTTTGGCTGATGTCTAGGAAGGGCCTACGGCTGAGGCTTCTAATAAGAAATCTGCCTTTTTCAGCCAGGGTTTCGAAATCTCTTAAAGCCCCAAATGGAAATAAGAAAGTTAGGTTTGAACCAGACCCTGAAATATATTTCTTATTCGAGGGTTGATTAGAGGTGAGTATAGGGACAGAGTTGGGGAACATGTAACTCACCAGTGTAGAGCTTTTCGGTGTGCTCTAAGCTCTAAACCCTAACCCTAAACCCTAAACCCTAAACCCTAAACCCTAAACCCTAAACCCTAAACCCTACACCCTAAACCCTAAACCCTAAACCCTAAACGCGGGGAAGAGGCCCGACACAAAGAGTCACCTTTTTTGGGCCTTTCCGGCCTGAAACACCTCAAAAAAGGTGACTTTTTGTGCCGGGCCTCTTCCCCGCAAGAGCCCGGCACAAAAAGTCA